ACACACACACACACACACACACACACACACACACACACACACACACACACTTGTGTCTTCAGGAGAGGCAAACTCATTTCCATGTGAGTCCAGGCAAAGTATAATTAGGACAGTAAGTCTGCAGGTTAGCAAAAGAGGTCCTGACCTTTGAAGCCCTCCAAAGAAAGGCATGGACTCACTCTATAAAATTAAAATGTGAAAAGACTTGACGAAGCTGAGAGCGATGCCACAGACCTGCCTTTAGTCCCTGGTACTTGGAAACCTAAAGCAGGAGGATGGCAAGTTGAAGGCCGGCAGGCACACACTAATGAGCCCTGGGGAATAGCTTATGGGCAGCACTTGCCCAGCGTCACCAGGCCCGAGCGGCCAGCCTGCACCGACACACACAGTACTGGAAATTTCTTCTCAGAAGCAGCCCCAGAACTCTCCAAGCCCTGGACCAGGCCCTGCCCACCCTGCTGTGTCCTCCTTCAGCCCCTGTGGCCAGTGCTGACCGGGCCTGAATGTCTCTTGACAACAGGTTTTCCAGCCTGGTGGAGCAGCTGATTGGCAAGTGTGCCAACTGTCCAGTGTTTCCTGGCTCCTACTCTGCCAGTCTCTCTCTCCTGGGAAGATGTTCCTGGTGGGCCTAACGGGAGGCATTGCCTCAGGCAAGAGCTCCGTCATCCAGGTGTTCCAGCAGCTGGGTTGTGCTGTGATTGATGTAGACGTCATTGCCCGGCACGGTGAGTTGAACCCATTGTACACAGCAGCTTCCCCTCGGCTTCCTTTCTTCCATCAGCCTCCTCTTTCTGTCTTCTTAGGGCATTCAGAGAGTGAGACTGTCCTGGGCGGGTTGCCTGTCTCTGCTCCAGCTTGCCCTTAAGGCCCTTCTGTTTGTCCTTCATTCTCCCTAAGAGTCCATTCTTCCCAAACTCAGCTCCATCCCCGGCCTGAGGGATTCTATGTGCTCTGCTCATTCCAATGGAAGGAAACAGCCTTGGGTCCCCCATCAGTTTGCCTCTGGTCATTCGGGGGTCTTTTGGATGGCTGGAGGCTCTGAAATGACCCAGCCTCTTACCTCATCTCACAGTCGTCCAGCCAGGGTACCCTGCTCACCGGCGTATCGTAGAGGCCTTTGGCACTGAAGTCTTGCTGGAGAACGGCGACATCGACCGCAAGGTCCTTGGAGACCTGATCTTTAACCAGCCTGATCGTCGGCAGCTCCTCAACTCCATCACTCATCCTGAGATCCGCAAAGAAATGATGAAGGAGACCTTCAAGTACTTTCTCCGAGGTGAGACTCTAGACTTGGAGCTGGAGGGGCAGACAGTCTCTTCACAAAGCCTCTCTCTAGTTGAAGGTCCAGGGTAGGGTAGGTGGCTGTCTAGGCTGCTGAGTTCACACTGTTTATTGGTACTTCCCTCTGCAGGAGAGATGGGAGGGTAGAGAAGCTGGCCTAGGCCATGGAGACTTCCTGCCAGCCTCTGGTATATATGGCCTCCGGTCTGTGCCTCAGTAGAAGGCCTAGTGGCCTAGCTCCTCCATCAGTCATATTGTGGAGACTATTCCCTGGAGAGCATGGGGACCCATTTTGGTTGTCTCCAAGTTTTCCCACTATAACCATGGCCAGGCCCCTTACCCTTCATGCCTCAGGTTCTGTGTACAGAGTAGGGACCCTCTCCCTAGCATGCTCTTTGCTCGATACTTACCTCTAAAAGAGTATGATCAAAAGCATGTGTGCTGTTGACCCAAGCCTACCTCTCATTCCCGAAAGCACTGGAAAGGCTGGGGCTGGCTCCCGGCACCTGCTGCTCTAAGCCCGTTCCCCTGGTTGTCTCTGAGACACTTGGCCAAAGTTGTCTTTCTTCCTCTCTCAAAAGGAGTCTGGACCCTGCCTTTGTCCTCCCCCAGTGTCTGCCAGCCCATCGCTGTGACACTGCTCCCTGTGCCCACCCCAGCCTGGCAAAGCCGCCTGCCTTTCATTCCTGCCCTTTGCATTTGCTCCCAGGCCAGCTCTGAGTACATCTGCAGGGCTGCGAGGCACCAGTGGCTGCCCCCTCCTGAAATTAAGCGTTGGATAATGTCACCAGCTCCAAAGCTCTCCCGTCGTGTCATCCACCAGCCTCCCCACCTCCCCAACCACCAGCACTTAAATAAAAGCCAGAGAGCTCTTTTCAGTTCGATAAGGTGAAAAATGGGACGACAGCTGTGGCTTCCAGAGTCCCTGTTCCTCCCTGATGAGGATAACAAATACAACTGTCAAAGTTGGTATAATCAAACGTCAGATAAGATCACCAGCTGTTGGGGAGGTCTCTGCGTAGGCAGGCGGATGTCTTAATGGAGTCAGGACAGTTTCAGGGCTTATCAAGCAGGAGAGATGTGACAGCTGAATAGCCCTTTACCGGCAAACCAAAGAGCTGGCTTCCAGCTCCCAAGAGGGACCAGGAGAAAGGACAGTAAGAGGGGAGGGAGGGAGGGGAGAGGAGCAGGAAAGGGAGATAAGAGGCCCGGGGAGGATCTGGTCTTTTCTCTGGCTCTGAGCTGAGAGGGTGAGATGGGAGGTAGAGAGGCTCAGTGCCAACCTCCCTCCTCCAGGAACAATGGCAGTAACACCCATCCTTTCGGGGGCACTTGGCTGAGGGGCTGGGCTGCTGCTCAGTGGTTGGATGCATTCAGAGCTCCTGTAATCTTGCCCATCACCCTGTGAAGCAGGTATTCCTTTCATTCATTACAAAGATTAGTTTTGTTAAGGACCTGAGGTCACACGGGATGCCGCAAACCAAGGTCTGTCAGCAGAGCTCAGGAACCCAATGCCCTCCTCAGCCAAGGCTTCCAGTAGGCTTCCTGAGCCGCAGGTTATAGGGAGCAACCAGCAACTAGTGTGTGGTTCTGTGGTTAAAGTGTCTGGAACAGGAGACCCTTTGGGCCCCAGGTCTCCGAGCAGCATCAGCCCCTGTCCTTGTCTACTGCCTCTACCCCTTCCGACTCTGTTCATCCACACAGGCAGGGCACAAGGGGCAGCCGGAGTGCACATTACTCGGGGTGTGCCCATTCACAGTGAGGGAGGGCTGAAGTGCCTCTTCTCCACTGAGGGGACCCTGTGTTAACTCGAACCCCCTTCACTGCTCTGGGCTGGTACAGGTCTCACAGGAAGCTGCGGAGGCAACCATGGGACTCTTGAAAAGGCAGCTGTGTCTGGACCTGGCTTCCAGGAAAGGGCCTGCCCTGGCTTTTTTGAGCCAGTGTAAGATGAAATAGGGCAGAAAGGCCTCAGCATCTCCAGAAACTCTTTCCAGTTGTCTTGTCTCCAGTCAGAAATAACTTGGGGTTGAAGGTCAAGGTTTACCCTGACCACCTAGTCCCCTCTGATGCGCTGTGCTTCCCACCTCCACCCGGTCTGCACAGAACCTCCCAGCGCCTGGGTTCTGCTGGTCCTCATCGGAACGCCTCGCCTCCACCTTCTCATTCCAAGTATCGCATCTTCCCTGCTTTTCAAAGCCAGTCCAAATGCCAGTCCTTCTCCAAGGTCTTCCCTGGTCAGCCAGCCAGAAGTTATTTTCTGCAGCATTCTGCTCTGAATGGCATTGGAACTGGCTGGCACTCAGGGTATGTCTGTCCTTGGAAGGTCTCCCATCTGCTGGGGCATTCTCTGTGGCAGGGGCTGGTCACAAGCATCCTTCCTGGTGTCCTTGCAGAATTGAACTTGGGAGTTTTCCCTCCTCTCCCCAGGGTACCGCTACGTGATTCTGGACATCCCCCTCCTGTTTGAGACCAAGAAGCTGCTCAAGTACATGAAGCACACCGTGGTAGTGTACTGGTAAGTGTGAGGCCTGGCCTGCCTGACGGGCTGGGAAGGACGCAGGGGAGATGTACCTGGGAAGCATCCCTTCACACTTTGCCCATGGTGTGGCCAAGGCACAAAGTGAGGTGGGATAGTGGTACCCAAGCTTACAGAAACCAGTGTTTTTTTTTTACCTGATCCTGATGCACCTGGGGCAGGTATGAGTTAAGAGGGTCCCCCAGACCTTGCTAAGTGTTTGAGAAGGGCTCCCCCTGCTGGCTATTGGAGACACTTCACCCTGTTCCTTAGTGGCTCCCTTCTTCATCCTGGAGCACTTCACCACTTCCCCAACTCCCATGTTTACCGCTTCATTCTCTTATTTTTCAGCATGAGGTACTCATGGCAGAGGGACACTTAGGAGTTACAGGGGGGAAATGGAAGTGGAGGTAGTTGAAGAATGTGTTCACAATCACCAATTGATAGCACCCATGAATAGAGAGCAGGATGTGTTCGAGATCACCCATGGGTAGCACCCGTGAATAGAGAGCAGGATGTGTTCGAGATCACCCGTGGGTAGCACCCGTGAATAGAGAGCAGGATGTGTTCGAGATCACCTCTGGGTAGAGAGTGTGGATGCAGCTGTCAGAGAATCTAAGGAAGGAGCTTTCTTCTCAGAATCCCCCAGGACAGGAAGCAAATCAGAATTCAGGTTTGGCAAACAAGAGAATCAAGCTGCCAGAGAAATGAGTCACAGTCCCTGCGGGTGAGAGACTAGACGAGGCTGCAGGGTGTCTCTGCTTCCCAGAAACTTCCCAGATGTCACAAGTATGCAGACAGATAGGTGGGCCTTGGCTCTGCAGGTATTTTGGGCACAAGGTGATTCTCAAGGGATGGATGTGTGGGAGGCTCCTAGTACACTGGAACACTCAGTGCCCTGAGCATTGCCCTACCCTACCCAGATCTCTCATGGGCTGTCACTCAGTCTGTCCTGAGCCTGTCAGTCCCTCCACAGGGCTGTGCCTCCCCACGTAAACCTTCAGTCTCTCCCTTGTTTGTTTTTGTGGTGATGAAGACAGAAGCCAGGCCTTGTCCATGTTAAGCAAGCACTCTAATAATTAAGCTGTATCCCAGCCTCTCTGGGTGCTTTATTCTGTTTGTAGAAGATGCCAGCTGAGGCCAGGAGGGCCCTATTAAGTCCTTGGATTCTCTGTGCTTTAATGACAAAATTAGGGGGCTGTAGAGATGCTTAGCATTTAAGAGCACATGTTCAGAGGACCCAGGTTCAGTTCCCAGCGTCCACATGCTGGCTCACAACATCCATAACTCCAGTTCCAGGGGATCCAACTCCTTCTGGCTTCTATGGGCACCAAGTGCATACTTAATGCCTTTACATACATGCAGGCAAAACACTCAAAATAAAAATAAATCTCGCCGGGCGATGGTGGCGCACGCCTTTAATCCCAGCACTTGGGAGGCAGAGGCAGGTGGATCTCTGTGAGTTTGAGGCCAGCCTGGTCTACAAAGTGAGTTCCAGGAAAGGCACAAAACTACACTGAGAAATCCTGTCTCGAAACCCACCCCCCCCCAAAAAAAAAAAAGAAGAAGAGAAAAATAAATCTCTAAAAACAATTAACCTAGCTGGGCAATGGTGGCGCATGCCTCTAATCCCAGCACTTGGGAGGCAGAGGCAGGCAGATCTCTGTGAGTTCAAGAAACCCTGTCTCAAACAAAACAAAAACAAACAAACAAAAAACCCCAAATCTATATCCAGGGATCAGAAAAGGGACAGTTTGATTATTTGCTTGTCAAAAGGATCTGTCTGTACCTTGTGAGCCAGCATGGAGCAGTTCCTGAAGAACGATTGTACCTAAATGTGATCCTTAATGTTTTTGAAAAAAATTGACTTGTGAAATGAGCAAAGAAAAACTGCCATCAACAAAGTCCAGCATTGGCTGTCACAGCCCTGGGGAGGCTGCTGCCGCCCTTATGTCCCGGAGGCTCTCGGTTCTGCACCACGCCTGTGGAAGAATGCACTCCCAGGCGACTGCCAGCCAGCTCCATTCTCGTCCCCAGCCACAGACATGCCTTGACTAAAGCTGGATGTGCCCACTACAGCCTCTATATAATGAGGTTAACTTTCATAGAGGAGGCTTGCTTCATCTGGCTTTGTTCTGTTTCTCAAGTTGCAAACAAAGGCCTGGACTGGTAAAATCCTCCCATTTTATAGCAAAGAAAACTCAGGCCAATGGACAGACAGACAGACCTAGATGGTGGGAAACAGCTGCTAGAGTCCACCCCCTCTTGTTGGAAGTCTGAGGTGGTTGATAGGGTGGGGTCCGGTTCTCCAGGACCTATCTCAGCCTGTCAGGGTGGCGCCTGTGTGACCACAGGAGAAGTAGTTTCCTAAGGGAACATGCTGTCCAAGCCTGTGTCCCAGGCTGGGCCCGACCTAGCTGCCCACTTGCTGCAGAGAGGGAGGCTGGGATCCACAGTGCACTTTTGCCCTGTCCTTAGTGACCGAGACACACAGCTGGCACGGCTGATGAAGCGGAACAACCTGAATCGTGAGGATGCAGAGGCAAGGATCAATGCCCAGCTGCCCCTGAAGGACAAGGCCCGCATGGCCAACCACGTTCTGGACAACTCGGGGGAGTGGAGCCTCACCAGACGCCAGGTCATCCTCTTGCATGCCAAGCTGGAACGCTCCATGGAGTACCTGCCACTGAGGCTCGGGTTCCTAACGGGCCTAGCAGGCATTGCCAGCCTCCTTTACCTGCTCACCCGTTACCTCCTGCCCTCTCCTTAACTGGGTACACCAAGGCAGCAAGGCTTAGGCCTCCTCCTTAGAGACCTAAGTCAGGTACCACGTCCTCAACACTACATTCACTCATCCAGTCTGGGACTCAGCAGAAAATCTCACTATCAGGTGCCCCTTCCCTCCCTCCCTAGTGCACCCTCATCCCTAGTGCCCCCTCAGAACAACACCCACGGTGGCAGGAGAACAGTGGTCTCTGTGGCCCTCACCACGGTTACAGCAATGTAGCCCACAGTTTCTTGGGCTTGAGCCCTCTTGGGGCATCTGCCCTATCATGGCCACAAACTCCCTGTGGTTTTTTTTTTTTTTTTTTTTTGGTTTTTCAAGACGGGGTTTTTCTGTGTAGCTTTGCGCCTTTCCTGGAACTCGCTTTGGAGACCAGGCTGGCCTCGAACTCACAGAGATCCGCCTGCCTCTGCCTCCTGAGTGCTGGGATTAAAGGCGTGCGCCACCACCGCCCAGCCACAAACTCCCTGTGGACCACAGCAAATCCTTCTAAACTGAAGGCCTTCTTCAAACAGCTGTCTCCTGGGTTGAAGCCTTTTGCCAGGGTGCGGTGTGACTCCTCTGGGGGTGCTGTGGCTAGGCAAAGACGGGCACTCTGGCGTCCCTCGGGCCCCATACTGCCTGACCTCTGTGCCTTCCCCCAGATGCTCCCTGCCCTGCCGTACCTTACCCCTGGCTGCCCCTGGTCAGGCCCCCCGTGTTTTATCTTAATCCATGGTAGAATAACCAACAAGAAACTGATTTCTCCTAGACTGTATGCCTCTAGGAGGCAGGGCTGACTCCTCTCCAGTGTACTACAGCCCTGCTCTCCACTGGTGCTCAATAAATTGAATTGATCTAAAATGCCCGCTGAATTCCACTTGGCCTCTGCTCACACCGAGGGGGCCTACGCAGAGGACTCCAGCCAGGTCCGCACCTCTAGGAGGTGGGTGGAGGTGTTGGGCAGATCACATCCATTCATCCCGCAGGCCTGTTTTTTCTTCCCCAGCCCAATTAGACCAGTACAGACATCAGCCTTCCCTCCCAGCGCCTGCAGGCCTGCTGATGTGTAGATCTTGTTCCCAGCAGCCTATTAAGGCCAAAAATGAGTGTGACTAATGTGAATGTGGTAGTGGCCATTTTTAATGCCCTCTCTCACAGAGCTGCTCAAACCTCAGAGAGCAGCTCATTAACTTCCTGCACATTTCCAAGCAGCAAAAAGGGGCTGTGAGGAAGTAGAAGAGGTAGCTGGAGCTGCTGGCTCCCTCAGTTGGGTGGGGGTCTAGCAGAACCTGGCAAAGGGGAGAAACTATGGACTCCAGCTGGACCCTGTAACCCAGTGAGTGAGGAAACAATTCCTGTGGCATTCTGGACACAATGTGTGCAGTAAGGACAAACTGCAGAGCAGTGGGGGGATTTGGTTTGGGTCATGCAGGTTCTGAAATGTATACTACCTGAGTCACCTCTCAGGAGGAGCAGCAGACCCAGGATTGGGACCCAGTTCTGCCTCTTTGCCTTTGGTTTCTGCATGGTAAGTTAAGGACAGTTAAAACCCCTTTGCAAACAGTGATGTTCTAACAGTTACTTCTTTCTTGGCCTGGCTCTCTAAACTTGATGTAGAGTGTGACAGAACCTTGGTCTGGAAGGTTTGCAGAAGCCCGTGCAGTTACGCACAGTCCCTGGTAGCCTCAGGCTGCTCTGCCCCCCAGTCTCCTCCCTTCTGACCTACTGACCAAGGTGGCTTTGGAAAAAGCTTGCTTTCCTGCTTCGGCTTGAGTGCCTGTTTAATTGGGCCCCTCCACCTGGAACACAGAGTAGGTGTCCTCCCCTGTGGCCAGCAGGTGGCAGCACTCACCCAAGCAGGGATCTGGGCTTCAGAGCCTTAACTATCCCTCGGGATGTACGGCCACCTGACCCTGAGCGCGTTAAGAAGACCCAGGTGGAATGGGATCTGGGTGTGGCAGTGCACGCCAGTACCCCAGTATTAGAGAAGCCAAAGTGACAGATGGGGGTTAGACACCAGTGTGAGCTACACAGACCTTACCTCCGCCCCCCTTCAGTCCTTGGGCCGCAGTTTCTAGCTTGGTCCTCGTCACCCTAAGAAGAGCAATAGGATGGATGCCTGTGGGAACTGCACGCTCACCTGCCTCTTGGCGAGGGCTGAAGGCTGCAGGCAGTCCCCTAAAGCCACTTGTCTCTCCTGGTCCAAGCTGCCCAAGGCTAATTCACGGTCTTGCACTTTGCAAAGCAGTCTCCATTGTCTTCTAGTCTGCACATGGGGTGGGTGATGTGGGGGCAGAATTTTACAGAGGTTTCAGAGGGGTGGAGGTGGATGCAGCCACATGCTGTGAGCACCATTCTGGATTCCCAGCGGTGTCCCTCCATCGGTAATACTATCCGGCAGTTATTGGCAAGGCTTCAGATGCCTTCTCTATCCTTACGGGACAAGGAGCAGAGCAAGAGAAAGCTCGGGAGAAATTGGGTGGGAAGGCAGTATCTTTCCTGAGTATTCCTTGTTCTCACAAAGGCACTTGAGCTCCGGGAGTGGATGGTAGACCTGACCACCGGTGAGGGGTCACATGGATGGCCACTAGAGGCCCTTGAAGATGGCTGGAGAAGAAAGGGAAGGAGGTGATGTAGCGGGTCGCTTTCCTGCTCTGCTCAGGGAAGGGAGAGCTTGGCTGATGGCTCCTACATCCCACTCTCAGCTAAAGCAGCACCCAGCCGGGACCCAAAGCTGCCTCTCCTTGCTCCTTACCACCTCCTCCCCTCCCTTCCCCATCGTTCAGATTCCAATACAATTTCCAGCTAACCAGCATGTCGATAGAACAAGCCGGGCGGCCGGATTGCTGGCCAATTACAGGAAATCATTCTGCTCCACAGCTCAGCCCTGGGGTGGGGTGGGAATGGGAGGGAGCAGGCTTCCAGCTTGCAGGCGGGGAAGGGGCTGAAGGCAGGGGGCCTGCAGCAGCAGCTCCCCCTCTCCTCCCCCACCCTGGGCAGGCAGTGTCGGGGAGGGGTGGATGGAGAGGCTCTTGGGGACACTTCAGCCCTGGGCTCTTCCTCAGCCTCACATAGAGTTTTGGATCCAGCTTTTTTTGTGGGGAGGTTGGAGCCTCAAGCCATCGAGAAACGTAGAGGCTGAAGGGCCATGAGGGTGAATCCTAGGGGAAACATGCGCTTCAAGGAGTTTGCCTGGAGATGAAGCTAGAAAACCACAGATGAGACCATTGTACTCCAGACAGGACTAGAGACCGGGGTGGGTGGCACCCAGGGGACCCTACAAGACTCACCTGAGGGCCTAGAAACTCAGGTTCTCACTGGTCAAACGAACCTGTACTCCCACAGCCGGCCCCAGCCAAGCAGCTCCAGGGTAGGGATATCAGAACTCAGGATTGATACCTAGGCTCCATGGGGGAGTAGGGGGAGGCTTGGAATAGCCTGACTTAGCCAGTGGGGGTTAAAAAAAAAAAAACATAATGCACCCAGCCTTCCAGTCAGGAGTGTGGGAGGTGGGGTCCTCCTCACCTCCCCAGTCCCTCTGCCATGGGTCCCACCTCTGGCTCCTAGGAAAGGACTCCAAGTAACTTTCACTCCGTCTGCCAAGATCTGCGCTCACTTGGGTGCCCCTCTGCCAACCCCATCTCCTCCCTCACCAGTCCTCTCCAGAATTGTCTTCAGCCACCCTTCAGCCTGCCCATGCCACAGAGCCTCCGCCTCCCTCTCCCACCGGAGTTCCCCCTTTCTGCCACAGGAAATCTCCCCCAAAGGACCGGAAGATCCCTGAGGAGCAAAAACTAGTCTGTGAACCCCGGTCCCCAGTGAGTGACCATTTGGAACCCCAACCGAACTGTGACTGGAGGTCCCCGCTCCGTCCTCTTCTTTCTATAGCTGTTCTAGTTCCAAAGCCTCTCTTCTGCTTCCCTCCAGGGGTGGGTCTGGGCTGGAGTCACCTACTGCTCTTCCGCCCACCCAATGGTAGACGTGATGGGCAGCCGTGGGTAGGGAAGATGAACCTGGGACTCTAGAAGATGCCGAGAAAACACAGGTGAGGTCATGTTCAAAGTTCTTCTGCTGAGAAGCATCTGGAAAGCAGAGTCAGTGCCCAGGGCCTCAGCTCGAGTGTGCGGGCTCAGACATCGGGGTGGAGGTGTCAGGCTGGTCCTGTGTGTGACCACGGCTTGATGCTCCTGGGCTCTAGTGACTCCGAGGTCCCCCCTCTGGCGCTGCCTCTCCTGGGCCAAGCGCCCAGTGCTCAGCGATCCGAAAGAGGGCGCCGGCTCTGCCCTGGTAGGCGGTGCCTCCCGCCCCACCGTTAGGCGCTCGGCAGCCCGCAGGCTGGGTGCCATCGATCCGGCCGCGGGGACCCGGGCGCGCTGCCTCCCTACGCTTGCTTTTCGCTTTTAATTGAAGTTTGTTTGAGCAGAGCGCGGAGCAGGCAGAAGCAGAAACCAAATATTTAGTTGCTGCAAATTGGCACCTCCAGATCAATTACCCGGCCCGTGTCAGGGCCTGCGCCGCCCCCCGCGCCCTGCGGAATCTCAATGCCGCGCTGCCCCTGCGTGGGCCGCCCGCGCCGCCGGTCTCCATTCCACCGCACGTTTCTCATCAGCTCCAGCCATACATCACCCGTGGCCGCTAGGGAACAGATTTTCAATGGGAAAAGTTCTCCGAAAAAGTCCTTGTTGCTGATTCCCACTGCACCCTGCGCTGGTCTGGCCCCTGCTGCCACGTCTAAGCCTGTATTATGGGAGTAGCCTAGTGATCAGAGTTTCAAAGGACTGTGGGTCTCACGCACCTAGCCCCGATCCCGGCAAGTCCACTTACCCGGTGAGTGACCTCGGGGAGTTTATTTTCCCTGAGCCTGGGTTTCTCCATCTGTGATTATGAGGCTTATCCTTCACCAGGTATGATGATCAAACCGAGGTGCCGTGTTGTGCTTGGAGACTCTGGGTTCTGTACATGATACTCCTCTTCTGGGCTGAGGATGTAGCTCAGTAGAGTGTTTCCCTAGCATACATCAAGTCCCGGGTTCGATCCCCAGCACTGCATACAACTAGTGGTTCTGACCTGTAATCTCTACATGCAGGCAAGAGAATCACAAGTTTCAAGGTCATCCTCAGTAATAGTAACTATGAAGCCAACCTGGAATACATGAGGCACTGTCGTGAAAATAATAAAGTCCACTGCCCCTGCTTTGGGGTGTGTGTGTGTGTGTGTGTGTGTGTGTGTGTGTGTGTGTGTGTAGATAGGTTCTAGAGTGATGTGAGGGGCACTGAGTGAGAGGTGACTCCAGGCCTGACTGTAGGCCTGGAGGACCACATGAGCTGGTCAGGCCAATTCTAGGACTCTGTCCCAGCATAGGTACATCAGGACAGTCATTCAGGAGCTGTTCTTTCAGGCCTGGAGGGGAGCCAAAAACCAGCCTTGACCCCAAGGCTAACCAAAGCCAGGTAAGGGGATCAGGGAGAATCTGGAGATGGTGGCCAGCGGCTCCTAGCCCAGGTTTCTATGTCCTGCAGGGATGAGGGCAGCTGGACTACACACCAGGTCTGTCTTTCGCTTTGGCACGCTACTAGGTCTCAGTTTTTCCCTGCGTAAAATAGGGCCACCTCCCAGTGTCCCTGTGAGGAGAAAGGGTGAGCTTCTCAGAGGTGTGAGGAAGGGGCCTAAGTTATACCAATGTTCCTTTCCTTCCTGTATTCACCGACTCCATCCCCAGAGTCCCTTGGGAGAACTGCAGTCCAAGAGTTTGACATTTCTAAAGGCCACCACGGTAGACAGAGTGACAGGGGCTCTGGGTGGGATGAGCAGTGTGTGGGAGGTCTGTAGCCCAGCCTACAGCTGGCCCTCCACACCATTTC